TGCCACAAATCATGCGTTTTGCGTTTGGAACCTTTCGATGACCTTACTTCAGTCATGTTGAGTTCTGTTGATCTGGCAACAAGCTGGATGGATGGATGCTGCCCTGGCCTCAGTTCCAGTCTTAAAAAAAGGGGTTTAGGGTTCGATGAGCTTTTATACAGTTGGTTCGTTCCGAGTTTGCGCAAGGGGCGGGGGCATGGTTCGAGGGTGTTTTGGGGGGTCAAACTGGATAGGTCCAGAGAGCCCGAGGAGCTAAGTCGACCCAGCTCCACCCCAACCCCTAAATCCTAAACCCTAAACCCTAAACTCTACATCACCACCGAGCCAAGGATGGCATTTTCCACACGGCGGCCGTGGTGAACTGGGCCCTAAACTACAGGCAACTCCGAGCCGCGACGACGATGTTGGCTTTGGGTTAAAAGTTGCAGAATTTAGGGATTAGGGTTTAGGGTTTAGGGATTAGGGTTTACGCTTTAGGGTTTATAGGGTTTAGGGTCTGTACCGAGGGGGGTGGGTGGTGGCGATGAGGGTCTAGGGCCATCATGCATGAAGTCCAAGTCGTTCGTGGATGAGTTTCACGGTTTTTCACACAACCGCTGGAGTGAGAACTGTGGCCTGGCTGCCACTGCAACAGCCCGGAAGCAAAAGGGTTTAGGGCTTCCCTAAACGCTTCGCTAAAGTCGTTGTTCATATGTCGTCCCCAGACATCTGTTCATAAAAAAATGTGCCCTTGCTGCAGACTGTTCCATTCCCAGGACCGGCCAATGTTGTCGGCACGTGGCAGATGGTCCAAGTTGCCATGCAGCGAGGCCTTTTTCGCGGGCGGTCTCCTCATGCGTGCCATGTTCCTCCGCGTAGTACAAAGTAGGGGGCCTATTGAATGAGGTTGGGTTGTCCACAAAAAATATTGCATAGGGATTTTGCGGGGTACTGATTTTTTGGAGCCCATACTGGGCAACTGCCCCAGACACGAGTGAGTGAGCAACGTCGCACCACGACAGGATCACATCCACAAGTCAATAAGTCCATATTAGCGACGCCCTTTGAGCGACCGGCATTCTCGTTCATTTTAAGAGGTGCTTTCTTTGCCCTCTGCATGCACGCATCATGCAAATTATGAGTGGTCCCAGGACTTCCCCTGACGGTTCCGAGCCTCCGCCTCTCCTTGAATCGAAGGCCTATTAGGGAAATTTCATGGGCCCTTAATATGGTCCCTTACCTTCTCTAAAGGGTTCTGACACATGGGCCCTTGGGTTCTATAGGGTATATGACATAAGGGGCTATATATAGGGTCCCCTTTTTAAAGGCCCACACCCTGAGATTGAAGGTGTGCCTCTGTTCCATATCTCCACAATTTCTGTGGCTTCTGGCGAAGACGGGCTCAAAGATCGCAAGGCTTGAAGGGGCTGTGGTACCAACAAAAAGGTTTAACTTTGTGAAATTCGTGTCTCCTAGCTTCCCGAGACAAACTGTGACAAGCTAGTTAAAACGGGTTTAGTTTTCCCATGGACGCTCAGGGTGGCTGTCGGCTTGGTCGTTGCAGGCTTGTGGTTTCGTTTCTGGTGGTTTTAGGGCTTGGGGGGCTCAGGCAGGATTCGGATGGTTGTGGGTGTTTCTGCGTTTGAGCCTTTTTTGTGGGGTCTTAGGTGTTCTGTTGATTTCGTGCTTGAATCGGCCTCAGCAAGGTTATTTGGACCTCGTGTAGACGTGTAAGGGTTGTATGCCGAGAGATCCAATGCCCCTTGACTAAGTAATACCCCAGTATATCTGGACGTAATCATAATTAAACGAGCTACATAATCGTTGAGTTTAAGGTATATTCCTGTTTAAAACCTTGGCCCTACATACTACACCTCAAACACTGATGCTGCCTGAATGTTCTGGACTCGCGCTAAACCTAAACGCCCTAAAGGCACGCGTTCGGGAGTTACGCTAACCCCCGGGAAGCCCAAAAAAGGGTCAAGCCCTGGGTTTGAATTTGCAAAGTTTAGGTCAATCCCCAAAGCAACCTAGGCCACGCCTCCTTGTTCATGGTGGTCACCTCTATCTGGGTCTCAACTTTGCTGAACTCCTTGGGGCCCTCTTGTCTCTGCACCATCCGCCCCCGGACAGCTCTGGGCTAGAGGGGGTACCCATTTCAAGCAAGAAATGCCAAATGCCAAGTAAGGGGTGCATGGTTCACCTGCTTTTGCTATCCAGACACCTACGGCGCCTCGCTGGATTGGATGCTTGTATATCTTTGTTTTAGGGTACCAAAAACCTATGAGATACTACGGGCCCCCACATCTACAAACTATAAGCCCTGAACCCTATATCAACCTTAAGTTGGGCACAGGAGGTGCAGAACGGATACGTCTTGAGCAAGTTGGCCGCAGAAAGTTTCGTGCGAGCCGTCCCTTGGCTTTTGCCTTGAGCTCGCGGGAATGCCAGGGCTTTTAGGGTTTAGGGTTTAGGGTTTAGGAGTATAGGGTTTAGGGTTTGGGGCCCTAGGGCTTAGGAGGGCTTTGGGGTTCTCGCAGCTAAAAGAGCGGCTGATGCGACTGAGCCAGGCCTTCTCTCGTGGCCTTCGCGGTGCAATCTTTCGACCTGGCATGCTGTGTGGCAGCACCACCTCAGGCCCTTGCCACCACATCCATAGTCTCCTTAGGTTTTTTTGTGTGTTTATTCCTTGCAAACCCAAGGGGAATGTTGAACATTGTTTTTTATTATGGTTCTAAGGATGCTAATTCAGGGTGATGTAGACATGTGCGATCCTTGGCTATTGCTGGCATCTTCACCTTTATGCTTCTTGAGCTTGGGTAAAAAAGGCAGCACGATGGACAGTAGTAATCACACACAGCCCTTAAAGCCCTTACTTGCTGAGAAGAGCCCGGGGCTTTCATCACACGATGGGCGTTGTCTTAGCGGGATTTAAGAGGGGGGGATGTTGTTCAAAAGTCATGGACAATTGTGGCCAAAAACAACACCTCATCCCTCTTTAGACTCCAGCTTTCTCGGCAAAAAAAACCAATTGGGAAGTTCTTTTTACATCAGAGAACCCACATTTTGTGGCAAAAAAAGACCCTGAAATTGCACTTACTTCCTAGAAATTCCGGCGGCAAAAATTATAAAGCTCGAAATGATTGAGGAAGGGGGCAGCCTCAGAAAGGGGCATAGCGTGTTCTAAGTGCCTTGAACTAAACTTCCGGATTATGTCCAAACACTGACTGCACATGAACAAAGTAGTATTCGCTTTCGCGAAAAGTTCAATGCTTTGAGCAACATTTGGTTCTTCTGAACATTCATTGGCAGCAAAAGGTTCAATGCAGCTAGCTGCTAGATACAGTTTTAGGAACAAGATTACCCTAACTAGCTAATGCAAACTTCTACTTCCACCTGTAGCTAGGCTTTGTAATTAACTTCCACATGTAGCTAGGCTGTGTAGTTAAATTGTAACTACGTCGGTGATTCGGACAATGATTTTGCGATGTGTGACCCAATCCGACTGCAGCTGTGGCGGCGATCATCCTGAGCACGTCCCTGGGCTGACTGAGACAGATTGTGTTGCTAAAGCAAAAATAACGGCATTCGTTTTGGCTTGGTTTCGGGTGTTAGTCATTGGCCTTAAAGGCAGCTGTAGCTCCTCAATGATGAGACGCGACCGGTTGCGATCTGTTGTTTGTGCATTGCGGCTTGATAAAGACATCTTAGGTTGGTGGTCTGGTGCCGAACCGTGTTCCAGGTAGACGGAGGCTCGTCAGAAAACCATGGAATGGAGATCTGGTTCTGTTTGTTTCGGCACAAGCTTTTAGGGAAGCTCGCTAGACACAGTTGCGACCGGAATTTCGCTCAAATCTCGATGATTGCCGTAGTATTTATGACAAATTTAATTAAAAAAACACAGAACGCAACAGGTTGCGACCTGTACCCTCCCCCAAACACAAATTCCAATGACTCTTGCGCATTACATTAATTATATATGCAAAAGCATAGATCGCAACCGGTTGCGACCCGTAGCTTCTCCCAAGCCACAAACGCAAAGTACCCTTCTAGATGCTGCGAAAACACAGATCGCAACCGGTTGCGACCTGTAGCTGTGGCAATGACACTGAATCTCATTCCAGGTTTTCTCTCAGGGCGTGCATCTGCTGAAGTGATATCAGACACGACCGGTTGCGATCTGTTGCTTGTGCACCGCGGCTTGATAAATTTAAAGTCATGTCAGGTTGGTGCTGCAGAAGCGAGTTCCAGGCAAATGGAGGCACCACGATGGAAACCTGATTCTAATTCGTTCGGCACAAATTGTTAGGGGAGCTCGCTAGATATTTGCCACAGCTGCAGTTCGCAACCGGTTGCGATCTGCGATTTACCATGAAGCCTCTAGAATGTACCTTTGAGTTTGGAATTTGTCAGAAGCCGCAGGCCGCAACCGGTTGCGATCTATGTTTCTGCATATATATATATATACTATAATGCGTGAGTCATCGGAATTTGACGGCAGAGGTCGCAACCTGCTGCATTCTGTGTTTTTTTCAATTAAATCTGTGAGAATCTACACCCTAAACCCTAAACCCCAAACCCTAAATCCGAAACCCGAAACCCTAAACCCTTAAAATATACCCTAAACCCTAAATCACTCTTCGAAAATTAACCGAAATTCAGGTCGCAACTTTTAACACGTTGAGGGTCTGAGATGTAAGAAGAGGTCGAGGAGCTCATGGCTGCAATGCTGGCGGTGTTCATCTTCTGGTTCGAGTCAGGACCTTAGCATCAGCAAAGGGGAAAGACAATGCATTGTCGTGGTCATGCTGATGTGCTGGGCGTTTCGCGCCTTTTTTCATTTCGCAGTGCGGCCTAAGACATCTGCAGCATATACCCCAAGAAGACACGACCAAGCAACGTCTCCTGAATTTTTCGTCGTGCTTCACAAGACAAAGCCCTGCCGTCGTGCTCGGGCCACGATTCCTGGACACGTGGGCACAGAGCAAGTTCTAGTCCGCGCACAGACCCACTGTTTAGTGTCAAGAAACGAACATTCCTGCAAGCGAGTCTCGTTCCAGGGCCTGAATGGTGTCCTCTTGCTCTTGCATCTGCACAAGATTGCCCTGGTACTCTTGGCGAAGCTGTCGGAACCTTGGGTGGGTGAATGACATTCCAACGCGACCGTACTTCTACTCTTTTATTTCATACCAGTACCGAGTGACGTCCGTAGCACCTCCTGCACCCATGGATGCTCTTCGACATCCACGTAGCAAACTTCGCTGGGCCCTGAGGAAAACACAACAATGGAGGTCCGCAAGCTAAAGAATGCGAATGCAAGAACCGAGTTGAAGTTGCTAAGAACGTGGCTCACATTTGCCCCCTCGTTCTGGGCATGGTCCTGCTCGGCTGGGTCCTTCTCAGTCTCGGCGGCCTCGTCCTGGTTCACATTCGTCGGTTCCGTTTTCTTCGTCTTCGCCTTGTCATCCTTGGAGTTGGGCTGCTCATGACCCCAAATCGTTTCTTTCGGCTCCAGTCGCCTCTTTGTCTTCACTCTGGTCGCAGGGATTTTTTTGTTGTTGAATCCTCTGCGCGTGCCTCTGCTTGCTTGACACAGCTTGTCCCGGCGATAGGTGCCCTCCCCGCATCTCACGCAGGCCCATGGCATTTGTGAGAACTACTTCTAATGTGTTTCTGCCAATGATGTGCCACACGTAATAATTAGAACTGAGCACAACCCCAGGCTCAACAGCTTGGCCGTGAAATGCTGCGGGCAGGGTCCCCAAGTCTGCTGCAATCGTTCAGAGAACACGGTTGTGGCAATGCAGTGGCTGAATCACCAATACCGAGGCCACGACGGATCTGACAACAAGGAGCATCTGCTTCTGAGCTGGGGAACCGATTCACCTGGCAGCCAGCTCTCCAAGGCCGAAACCCGAAACCCATGTGCAAGTTCAGTGTGTCGGGTTGCTTCGGCGTGTTGTGTTGATGGAGCCTTACGACCCTTACGTCGCCCTTCTTTCCCTCACGCGACCCTTATGTGATTGCACCGTATGTCACCCGTGTTTCATCCTTATTTCATCCTTATTATTATCTCCCACAGGAATCATTGTCATTCTCCTACTACATGGTACTCATGCTACTATCACGCCGAAAATCAAGTGCAAGCAACAAACAATTGCAAATCGGCGCCTTGGACGGTGCTTGTTTTTGTCGCGCCGGGGCCGGCGGTTGCCATCATCCGCTAGGACGGACACACGTGTG